GAGCGCTGTTGCTGGGGGCTGTGGCTTTGCATAGGCCTTTGGTTTGACTTACGTTTCAGGAAATCATTGAAGAGGCTTTCAGAAATGTGAGAGAAGCGGTTGGGGTTTCCTCTGAGGTACTCCGACGCCGGGTCTAAAAGGTTTAGTTACAACCTAGCCAAGACCTTTACATTCAGCCCCAAGTCTTTGAATGAATTTTCAAATCTGAAGATCAAACCGCGACCTAGTGACTTTAAATGCCAGTTTCTGAAACTCTTACCGGAAAAAAATTAAAGACGCTTTAAGCAAGACTTACACTGCTTTACTGATACTCCAGCCCGCCCACAGCAGCCTACAAGATTCGATTCAGGTGCGGCTGAATTCGACCGCTCCGGTGGCTGTCGGAAAGGCTTGCAAAGGGTAGGTCTGGTTTGCAGTAAAAAGGAAGCAATGCATGATTTTGCTCTTGGGGGTTATCTAGTGACTACGGTAAGGATCCATTCCTTCATTCCNNCATTCCTTGCCAACCAGGGGTAAGTCTTCTCTGCTTTAGCAGGGGTGGTGGAGTGCATCCCTGCCGGAATGAATCCATACAAGAAGCTGTATCTCATCTCCTGTAATAGCCCTACTCCCTCTCAGGCACCACACAGTTTTCTAAGAGCTATGAACTGTCAGAGGCAGGAGTTATTCGTTATTCATAGGGCAAGTATCAACAATTTTGCCTCGTCTTGAGACGATCGCCCCCCAATTTTTGGAAGGCTCACTGAGGGAACCTCTGTGTGAACAAAAACGCTGCTGTAAATTATGTGATGTATGAGACCTTCGTGTAGCCAAGACTGCACCGCATCCTGTCATCCACCAAAAGGTCGCGCGAGTCATATTTATCAGAGGTGAAGTAGCAGGAAACGTGGAAGCATAAGAAGAAGTCGTCGTCCTGGTCCTGGTCCTCGTTGTCGACGTGGTCGCATTTGCCACATTTTCTTGGAGGCCTTGCCGGTACTGAAAACTCTTTCCCCAAGGCCTTTTTTGCTCATGCCCATCCAAGTTTATACACATGTGCTAATTGGGTGTTTGCTGTTTTTTTTTTTTTTTT